GTTCATTAAGCAGTTCATGAAGCAGTTCATGAAGCAGTTCATGAAGCTGTTCATGAAGCAGTTCATGAAGCAGTTCATGAAGCAGTTCATGAAGCAGTTCATGAAGCTGTTCATGAAGCAGTTCCTCAGTCTAGTGGTTCTACACTTAATGCTCCGCAGCTTCTATCCTGAAGATGTTCCCGCAGGATTATCACTGTGAATAGAAGAAGAAATCACTGTAATGCCACTTGATTGGTGATATGTGCTGCTGATTATCCATGCTGCTGATCTCATGCTGCTGATTATTTCATGCTGCTGTATTTGTTTGTACTCACACAGACTCATGTTCGTGCTGCTGTTTTGCACTATTAGTGTTTAGTATTTCCCAGTATACTGTTTATTTTTACACTTCATATTTTTATTATTGTTGGATGTAACTGGGATCCTGTGTACATAATTTCGTTCCGCCGCATGTACCGTGATACGAGCAATAATAAAACCTAGAAAAACCTGAACATGACTGGTATAAATATAAAACATCAGAAGGGTTTCTTCATGTACATGGCTCGTTGGTCTAGGGGTATGATTCTCGCTTTGGGTGCGAGAGGTCCCGGGTTCAAATCCCGGACGAGCCCAACTTTTGTTTATATTTGTCTGTTGAAATTGAATATATTAATTTCGTTTTTACATTATGGTCAACATGTTCCAAAGCCCTCAGCTTCTTTTATTTCTTGTAACTGGTTGTCTCCCCCCTTGCCTCCCCCCTCCACCTGCCCGTCGCTCAGACGCTGAACAAAGCCTGCTCTGCTCCCCCAGCTGTTGTGGGGAGGGCCCGGGGGTGTGAGGAGGAGAAAGAACCGTTCCTGTTCCGCCCCCACCAACGCAACAGACAGTCCCAACAGGCGGCACACGAGCCTGTCCCGCACCATTCACGCAGCAGAGCCGAACTGCTCAGCCACAAACAGGCTCTCATGTGAGTATTTGTTTTATTATTTTAAAGTTTGCTCTTTTGTGTCTGTATCATGTTTTATTGTGTGTATTCAAGCTACACATTTTCATCTCTAGTTGTTTTATTTTCTAGTAATTAATGATTGAAGTGTAATTTTAGACTCGGTGAGTAAAAACAGAATCTTGGTCCACTCTTACTGACGTGTTGTACGTTTTGATTCAAAGGGAAGCTCGACGTGGGATTACTGGACCTCAGCTCTGACAACTCTTTGGGAGCCTCTTCACTCTTGATTTGTAGACTTTAATTACGACTCAAATCATCCTGAGGGATTAATTGCTGGAAGAGGGGGTGTTGTTTCTATCTGTGGTCCACCAGTCCAGTTCGAGGATGGTCCTGTGTGAGGATGGAGAGTGCAGCGTCTGCCTCTTGCCATATTCCCGCACGGACAGGATCCCCAGGGTGCTTCACTGCCTGCACACCTTCTGTGAGCCCTGCCTGAAGACCATATCCCAGGTCAGGGGCGGTCTCGTCACCGTGCCCTGCCCTCTGTGCCGACGGGTCACCTGCATAGGCCGAGGCCTCGGGCTCCAGGAGGCCCTGTGGGTCAACGACAAGCTGTGGGAGAAGATACCAGAGGAGGAGCACGCAGAGGAGGAGGATGGAGAGAGGACGGAGATAAAACAGCAGCCCTCATTCCAGGCAGAGTGGTGGGTTCTTAAAATTAAAAATTAAAACGCAGTCACACACACAAAATGTTTATTTTTGTCTCCTGGAATTAAGACTTTCTAGTATTGTTGTGTTTGTGTAGACAGGCAACATTAACATTAATAGGGGAGCTTTTTTTTTTCTTTCTAAAACAAAGAAGTAACAAAGTACCCTGATGATGTGAGGAACAAACTTTTATTAAATAAAATGTAAACAGAGCCTTTTGTAGGACTGATGTTAAACTTGAAATAGCGAACATACCAAAGAAGTTGCACATCAGTGTCAGGCGGCGGCTTTGCCCACAAACTTCTCATTAGCACCTCAGCTCTGAAGCCTCACCGTCTTCTTCATGTTTCAGCGTTTCAGCGAGGCCTGCCGCCGCCCGCCTCAAGCTGCCAGCCTTCTTCAGGAAGTTCAGTCTGACGAAGCCGCAGCAGGACCGGATCATCCCCGGCAGTAATGTGTAAGTTGAGCCGTCACGTGAACATTTTTAGGCCAAAGTAACAAGAAACGAGCATGGAGGGCTGTGAAGGGTCTGCTTCAGTCCAGGAAAACACGATTAGATGAACAAAAAAGAAGACTTATTTACAGGAAATGCACTGTTTATTTTCCTGGACTGTGTGGTTTTGATTTGAACCAGATCTGACATAACGTCCCGTCTGATTTTCTATTGATCTGATTTTTGCAGGGAGATGAAATCTTGGCGCCGACTCTCGGCCGATGAGACGGTTTAAAAAACGAGGAGGAGACGCTGCAGCTCTCAGGATTCTCTGACGAACAACTCAGATCAGCCTCGAGTCGGACCGAGGAGCCATTCATGTTCCTGTCAAGACAATGTTTTGTTCTCAGCTAAAGGTGTCCCCGTTATTTATTCTAGGATTAATTCTTCCAGCTGGTGTTGTGGGATTTAGTTCAGCGGTCTCAGTGGGGCTAACACCCCAGGACCCCCTTACACCAGATGGTCTCCTGTTACCACTCCTTAACTTATTTATTTATGCCAGTTCACAGACATTTTCAACTTTGATTTATTGTTCTCGCTGATATGACCTCTCATATCAAGAAGATGGCAGCCAGTTAAAATCATTATAAAACTTCTTTATAGCCCACATCGTTGATGGTGCGTGAGTTATTTTTAAAAAGTGAAGCCAGCAGAGGGATTTCTACATTTCATATGAAGGATACATCTGTGAGCGCGACACAAAAGCCTCACTCAGCCATGAAAGTGGATTATAATCTCCATTCATGGAGCATCTGGTAAATATTCCACATCGGGACATGTCAGAAAACTGGATCATCACGTTCATGGAAATGAGTTCTGTCTGCTTCAGCCAACATGTGCGCCTCTGTGAGACTAAAGAATTAAATCTGTTCAACGCCATGCCCGGGCATGAACGTGAGGTGTCTCAGTCAAATTAAGTCAGCGTCATCTGGGAGCAGAGAGAAGTCCGTTAGTCGTCACACTGGTTTGGTGATCAACAAGCTGCTGCAGCCGAAACCTGAAAAGACACACTCGTGCTGTTTTTACCTTCACACACTCCATAAGACGTGTGACAACCAGGAAAACCTACATTTACAAGTATTTTTTCAAGTGTAACAGCTATGGGCAATAAAATATCTTACCTGCTGTAGATAGCTCTTTGAGCGACCTTAAATGGGAGAAATGGAGTTTTATTTTGAAAGGTCCAGTGAGTTCATTCATAGAATGCACCTGGAGCCAAAGTGGATTGCTGCAGTCTAAAGCAGCTTCAGTCTCAAATGTTACAGCAGTTCCTGTTCAGCTGGGGTCGCTTCCTGCAGGAATTCATACAGTTTCTGCAGAAACATCAATACAATGGTAAACTGACACTGGTGTGAAGGTTTAGGTACAAGTGTTCGCAGGAGTTGCTAAGAATAGATTTGGAGTTGGTTTGAAAGCGGGCTCATTGTTAGCTCGCTCGCATGGATCCACAAAGAAATCTCTGCCATCTTTAAACAGCTCCAGCCTTCAAAATTATAATGCAGCTCACACAAACACTTCAAGTAAACTTTGACCTGGCTGTATGTGTCGTACTTGATTATGTTAGCAGGTATATTGGGAAGATTTGTGAGATTTAGCCACTTGAAGATGGCAGCAAGCCGCTCGTCTCAGCAGCATTTAGACCAGACAACAGGTGGACAGTCCTTTTCCATAACTTTGTTTTTGTACTCTTCACAGCTTCCTCTCAGTTGTTATCCATCACAGCTCATGATCAAAGTGTGACAGGCAGGATCAGGATAGAGAGACAGAAAAGAAAAAACAAACGCCACACTGTGCCATTGACAAACTATTATACAGCAATAACGGCCCAGACAAGCAGAGACCTTGTTTAAACTTTGATCTTGATTTGTTACTTTGACCTAAAATACAGAGTGATAAAAACATTATGTGACTTGCTCTAGTGGTGGTACAAATTCAGATTGTATCAAATGATCTTGATCAGATCAGAAGTTATGGCCCAGATGGGCAATGACATTGTATAGCCTTTGACCTTGATTTGTGACCTTGGAGCTTGCTGATGAAAAGTGAAAGTGATACTCAGACAAGAGAAATCAAAGTTCATGCTCAATAATTCAGGTAAAAAAAAATCCAACAATATTCAGTCAGGTCATCTGGACAGTTTCATTTTTTTGTTGAGAGACGTTTCACCCTCCATCCAAAGGACTTCGTCAGTCCGAGGAGTCACAAACAAACTGTTTTCCCACATTGTTGGATTTCTTTATACGGATTATTGAGCATGAACTTTGATGTCTTGAACCACATTGGCTGTGTTGCCTGGGAGGAGTCGACGGGGGAGAGGACGGCCCCAGAAACCATCGTATCACCAGCAAACTGGTTGGGCCACTGTGTACTACTTGGTGGGGAAAACTGTTTGTGACCTCAGACTGATGAAGCCCTTGGAGGGCGACACGTCTCTCAACAAAAAAAGAAACTGTCCAGATGACCTGACTGAACATTGTCAGAAAAGAGAAAGTTTACGGATGGAAGGAAACTATATCATAATATGTCTCGCCTCCGACAGAACCGTTTAAATCAGCTCTGTAGTTGTTCTGGTCTCTAAAACACAGACGAGGTCTAATAACGGGAAGTTATTTCTGCAGAGCTCTTCTCTCCACATGGAACCACAAGACAGTGTTGTTAAAAAGCTCAGCTTCAGTGTGGACTGGAGGTGCAAACACAGCAGAAAATCTGGAGTAGAGATACCGAGGCTCTTTACCTGGAGGGAAGCAGCAGTTGTGAAAACACCAAAGAACCAGTTTCAGTTATGCAACGTACTTCCTGTCTTGTGATCCTCTCCTCTCTGCTCACTGGGATTAAAGGAGGAAGCATCTCCCAGCATGACGGCGGCAGGCGGGAGACATTTGTAATAGTGTTAAATACATTTAAACAGTCTGGATATCTGAGGAAGTGAAACAGCCAAACGTCCTGCTTTTCTCTAAAATTTCTGTCTGCATCCTTTATAAATAAAGCTGACAGAGAAATGGTGTGGATTCATATTTATTGCAATCCAGCTCCCTAAAAATGTGCTGCAAGTAGATTTTGTAACAGCTTTGGTTTTGTTTGCTCAGACATAATAAGAGGCGGTAATCAGCCGACGGTAGATGTGAGCAACAACGTGGTGCAAGTTTGTTTCCACAGACTTGTTTACGTAAAGCAACGGCTCATTCCTGTGGAAGCATCGTAACTCCTGACATACTCGACATATTTGTCATTAAACAGAAGGAATGTGGTGATAAACAGACGATTAGAGGTGTCACAGAGGTGGGAAGGGTTTAAATGAATAATAAAAATACATTGGATGACTAGCATGTGTTTGTAGGACTGATGAGTGGGAAATAATTAGAAAATGTGAAAAAAAAATCCATAAAGTCAAGAATCTGAACTATATCCACACATAGCACATAAACTCTCAATAAATCAATAAAAATAAAAATAAAGGGCTTTGATACACAATTTATTCACACTTTGTTCCACATCCACTGTTTCCTTCGTGCTTGTTCAGGATGAGAGTCTGTGATGAAGTTAAACTCAAAGCAGTCAGATAATTAATGTTATTAACTTATTTATATACAGTATATATGATGACTTACCAAAGTGGTTCAAAACATCAAAGTTCATGCTCAATAATCCAGGTAAAAATCCATCAACGTTCACTCAGGTCATCTGGATGGTTTCTTTATTTTTGCTGAGATGCTGAGCATGAACTTTGGTGTTTTGATCCGCTTTGGCATGACCGTGTCAGAGGAGTTGACGGGGGAGAGGACGGGCCCCGGAGGACATCTTTGCACCAGCAAACTCTTTTTTTCCACTCTGGAGTTTGTGAAAACCAGTTTGTTTGGTGTCTCCTCAGATTGAAGAAGTCCTTTGGATGAAGGACGAAACGTCTCAGCAAAAAAAAGAAAAAAGAAACCATCCAGATGACCTGACTGAACAATGTTGGATTTTTACCTGGATTATTGAGCATGAACTTTGGTGTATACAGTATTGCTATTTTTGGGTGTAACTGGGACCTTGAGAACAATGTTGTTCCACCTCGTGTACCACATGTGATGCAGCAAAGTCTCCTTGAGTCTTGATATTTGAACATGTGTGTCCGAAAGTGCACGTGGCACCAGGACATCCTGGTCTGTAGATCACTGATGGATCATGTAGGAGTGTCATCTGATCTGTGGACACTCAGGTGGAGAGAGAGCTGAGCTGTCAGCTGATCACACCTGGTGCTGAGTTGGAGCAGATGGTGGGGGAAGTTGCTCAATAGACCCAGTGTAGGGCAGCTGTGGCTGAGTGGTTAGAGCAGTCGTCCTCCAACGCGAGAGTTGGGAGTTCAATTCCACCAGCAGTCACATGCTGAAGTGTCCCTGGGCAAGACACTGAACCCCTCATTGCCTCTGATGTTTGTCCCATCGGTGTAAGAATGTGATCTAAAGCTCTTATTAGTCTCTTTAGAATGATTTGTTCAATTATCTTTGTATAGATCTAGTAGAGTGCTGTATGAATGGGTAAATGATGCACAGATTGTAGTAAAGAGCTTTGAGTATTTTGAAATAAGATAGAAAGGTGCTGCATAAGTACAGTCCATTTAGACCTAAGCATGAAGGTTTGCTGGGAACAAGCAGAGGTGAGGGACATTGAGTCTGAGTGGGACATGTTCAAATTCATCTTCTGCTGAGCTGCTCTGAGCTGTGGCTGCAGGTTGGTGGTTCCTCTTGTGGTGGATACCCTCGAACCTGGTGGTGAACACTCTGGGTGAAGGAGACATCGAGCTGAAAGAGTTCGGTGGGTCAAATGTGCTGAAACCCAGGCTGTTGCTGAGACCAAGGCTCGGATGTGGGAGGAGTTTGAGGAGGTCTTGAATAGACTCTTGACTGTCTCCACGAAGACTTTTGACAAACCATCAGGCAGCTGAGGTGGGGGCTGCAGGGTCGACGCACATTACCATCACTGTTTAATGGAGGTGGGGTGCTGTTGACCTCAACCAGTGATTTCATCAGAATGAACCCATCGAGGACCTTCTCTTGTGTTTGAGGACTTTGGGATGTGTCCGTCCGTCACCAGGACTGACGTCACTGACTTCAACAACTCGACAGTGAACGAGATCCGCCTTGAGATTGTCAAAGCTCTGAACGTTGCTGGGTTGATACACCTGCGTCTGTACAGAACCATGGTGGTGCAATGGTTAATAAAATAGCTTTTGATTTAACAGCAGCAACCACTTTAGTCTTGACTGTTATCTCGTCACTGAAGAAAATTAAACCGTTTCCAAACTGAGCCCATTCAAAGAGCTATCTACAACAGGTAAGATATTGACTAACTTTTTCACAGTAGTTCAAAGTGGCCAACACACATACAGCTGTTTTCACATTTGACTTCTTCAAAACTCAGAACTAACATTAGGCTTTACATCTGATTTACTGTGACCTTCAGGAGGATCATTAAACAAAGAAAATGTCACTAAATGAACGCGTTTGTTGTGGATAATCAACAACAAGCGATTTTCAGCCTGAGGCCCTTATTTGCCAGTTAATTCATATCTAGCCAAAACAGTCTTTTGATATATTTATTTATTTAGTCATCAATTAAACAACATGACCCTGCATGTAGACGCTTGTTTAATCCTCCACACGACTGACTACGTGCCAAATACAGTTTCAGGTCATGGCGCGTCTTTTATCAACATTTGATCTTTTTAGGTTTTTATTTTAAGCAACAGCCCTAAAGTATACAACTTTACAACAAATCAATGAAGTCATCAGCAAAGTAAAATAAATAAATAAACTGAGCCAAAGTGGAAAGAAAACAGCAGAACTGCTTATAAATGACAGATAAAAACAATTTGTGGTTTTTCTTCCAATACAAAACTTGTTAAAAAAATGTTCATGCATTATTTTGGTAATAACATCTTTATTAATCATTTGGAGAGACATGCTCGAGCTCTGTACAGAGTGAATGAAGGGTCTGCTGCACCGAGTGGTGACTGTAAACACACGCACACACACACAGTCGCATCACTTGGTCCACTTTAATGGAAGGTCATCAGGGTCATGAGGTGGATTCTTTCACACTGTGAGCATTAATGACGGTGAATAAACATTTTATTTTGTTCTTACAGGACGTGTGACGAGAGCAGGATGTTGTGGTTCTGACCGGACGGAGCAGCATTAACATTTTCGGTTTGTTTCCATCCTATGAGAGAACCGAGCTTCACCGGTCGGTCCTGTGAGGATCCCCCACCTGTTCATCTTCTTCAGGTTGGAAAGTGTTTCACAGAAGAGCTCGTCAAACGTGTCATCATTTCCTACAACTTCTAAGACACAGCACTCCAGAGTTTCTGCAGATTAAACTTTTTGCTTTTTTTTTACTTTCATGTTCACTCTAAATCTAGAACACACTCTAAGTGCAGCAAATACGTCTCAAAGTAGAGCTCCTAACATCACCATCAACACGGCACGAGTCCTGACTCGGACGTGGGAACAAAAAGCAACAATCCAGAGTGTCACCGTCAGTAGTCGGACAAACCAAATCAAATAAAAACGTACAAACGGAAACTGGAAACCAGTTGTGTGACAGTTTCTACAACAATCAGACTCGTGTTTGATTTCAGCGACTGTACAAGAAGAATGAAGCTTCTCTCATCTCCATCAGGACCTGGAAGTCCTACATACATGTGCAAATTAGTCTTTAGGCAAAACAAAACTACTTTACAAGGGTAAAGGGATAGTTCAGACATTTTGAAGTGGGATTTTGTGTAGACGTCATGAACAGTTACTATCTAACCTGTTCTAGATAGCCATGCAGATGTAAATAACTGTGTATTGAGGAACTGGTGGCAGTGTAATCTGTAAGAACTTCTATTAACATTTAAACACTGGAGTTATTTTAGGACTTTGGTACTGGTTCAGACCAGCAGTTAGCTCGTCAGTCCTGTCACAATTAAACAGTTTCTCCAAACTGAGGTTGTTCAAAGAGCGACCTACAGGTTCAGATATTAACTGGCTCATACTTGTACATGTGACCTCTTTTTGAAATGTGTGGAACATCTCTTTAGGCATCAGTCCGAAGCTCGTCAGTCAGAGAAGCATGGTCATGTTTCTCTGGGACACAAACACAGGGTCGTCTCTGCTCGCTGCATGTGCAGCTCATTAAACTCAGATTGATCACACACAGCAGCGGTACACTTGGACAAACTCCAAAATAAAATAAATTAAAAAGCTGTGAGGGTAACTCTGCGTGAACGCAGTCTCTACAGAGAGCACAAGTTTACACACAAACAGATGTCCTGAAGAATACAAGTCCAGTTTAAAAGACAAACTGTGGCCCGTGCATCAATCACTGGTGTGAGATAACATGTATGTTTTCTAACAGGTGTACACAGGTAGACCACGCTGTACAACAGGCATGCATTACAGCTGTCAGCCCTGCAACATCTGGAACACAAATGGAAGGATGGCAGCTGAGCTACAGGCAGGAACGCTGTGATAATTTGATCTAATCTGGTGAAGTCAGATGTCTTGTTCGTGTCCTTAAAAAAACATATTTTCAGAGGATTTTTCTGAAGAAAAGAACAAATGAAGCTTTGTGCACAAATAAACATGTATAATCAGATGAGATATGTTTCTGTTAGTGGTTCTCTCTAAGAAGCTGTAGAAGTTTTTATATTTTGGGGGCAGCTTTCACATATTGCTAACTCCAACCAATGAGTTGGGTGAGGGAACCAGGAAGTCAACAGCAGGTTAAACCAACAGTAAGCAACGTAACGAGCATGTGATGTGTGCATGAAGGGTCCCCGGGCAGGCGGCGGCCATTAACAGGAGCAGCCGCCCTCGGTGGTCTGGGGCTCCTGCGGCTTGTCCAGCTTGATGTCGATCACTGAGTTAACATTAAGGAGATCATGAGAGCATGTGGAGAAGGTCAGCTGAACAAGAATAAAAATAAACAAGTTGCACACCAACGTCCCCCAGCTGCGAGGAGTTTTGAATAGTGAAAACCTAAATGTTTCTGGTGCAGGACGTTCAAGTGGGCAGGAGCGACACTGTGGAGAACAGAGAGAGGTTAGTCTTTTCTTGTCTGAGGCAGCGTGGAGTGATGGATACTGGCGAGCAGAGGGAGCAATTTTATCCACCATCAGGTGGAGTGGAGGAGCCAAGGGGTGGCCAATGGTGGCCTTGACCACCATAGATTAATCTTCACCCACCCCAATTAATTGAATAAAAATACTTTTAAACAATATAAAAACCTGAAAGAATAGTTTCCTCAAATGATAGGGGTGGTCAGTTTACAAAAATACATATATGGTGGTGTCCATCTTGGATTTCTACCTGGCAACCCAGTTTTCAAAAGGAGAGTTTCTTACACCTAGATTCAGCCACACGTCAGAATGGAAGTTGGTACCTCACTTATTTTTCAAGTCAACATAAGCAGATGACTGGAGGTTATTCCCAGTTCCCTCTTTCGTTCAGGGGACAATAAAAAGAAGCTGAATTGTTCTATGCTGTAGTACAGCACCATCGCCACTAGATGGTGCTGTCTCTTATCACTGCACTGAGTTGCAAACCCTAAAAAACTAACTTCTTTTCCTCTAACGTGCACTTCACTTTCAGCAGGCACGGAAGGTAGAGGGTGAAATGCATTCCTCCATGTGATGGTAGGACTTTTATTTCAAATGAAGAATGATGCTCGTCTTAGTGATGATCAAAGTAAGTCATGACGGTGTTTGAAACTGCTGCAGGTATAAATATGGCAGCCTCAGGTTTAGATTTCTGGGCCTACATGTTCTTTGCAAACCAGCTTTAAAAACAACCTCAGCGTGGCTCTGACATGATCTTTAAACTCTGCACTGTGGTTTCTGAGGACTGTTCCAAGAGCAGCGAGTTTTCTTCATGTTTTATGGGAGCGTGCCACCATGACAGGATGCCATTTTAAGTGTGGCGTTTAAATACTGCACATACTTCAGTGTTCCCATCTGGAGAACCTGAGAGCTCGAGTCAGCCGCTGACATCTCCTAACCAAATGGAACGCATCAGGTCCTAATAATTCATCGCTCTCATCGCTCTGATCCAGTCACAGGAGGGAACACAATCACAAAGGTATTATGAAACCTCAGAGATTGTCAAGCTTGTTATGAACCTGAAAGGTCCTGGGATCATATTTTATAAATATGACCGCATGTATTTAAAGTCAAACTTTCATGCATCTAAGCCGCATTAAACAAACAACACTATTCCAAATGACATCTTTGTGAAGCTTGAGATTTTTATTTCAGAGCTGCGTTTCATTAAAATAAACTGCACTCACTTCCTGTTTGGAACTTCAAGCTTGGTCATCAAATTCGGTCACAACACACATTTATAATACCAGCGTTATATTCTTTAATTGAACCGTTAACATGATTTCTCCCATAAAGGAATAATATAAGCGGGACGCCCATGTTCCTAGTCGCTGAGGGATTTGGAAAATTAATTTTTGTAGTTTTCAAAATGAGATTTTCAGGTTTTTATGGACTGGAATTGAACGGGGAATACAAATAATCCTTCATGTTTTTGGTGCAATATTAAAGTGGGGAGAAGCTCCACTGTGGAGAACAGAGGTATGTTTATTTTACTTGTCTGAGGCAGCGCAGAGTGGAGGAAATACTTTTATCCACAACCAGGTGCAGTGAAGGACCTAGGGGGTGGCCAGTGGTGGCCTTGGCCACTACAGAGTAATGTTTGGCCACCCCAATCATTTGACAAGCTACACTTTAAAGAAAAATAAAAACTAAAAACTACAGTTTTCTCAAATGACTTGGGTGGTTGGTTTACATACACATATGTGACGGTGGCCATCTTGGATTAAGACATGGCAACCCAATTTTTGATAGTGACCTTTCTTACTCCTAAATGCAGCCACACACCAAAATGGAAGTTGCCATGTTTATTTTTCAAGCTACCCAGCTCAGTATATACTGTATACATATATGGTGGTGGCCATGTTAGATTTTCACACGCTAACCCAATTTCTGAAAGGAACTTTTCTCAGCCTAAATGTAGCTGCACACCTAAATGGACAGTAGCACCTCCCTCATTCTTAAAGTTATGATGCTCACAACATGCACAGACGGACGGATGCAAAAGCACGCAGTGCTTATTCTTTTTTAGCTCTGTATCTATACCTCTGTGAGCAGGGGCTGGAAATACAAAACTGAGTAAAGCTTTGTTTCTTTAAGACACGTTAATCTATCTGGAATAAAAACAGCCCTTTCTGCTTCTGTTACATTTCAGGGTAAGATTAAAATTGATTTATAAAATGTCACTGCAGTTCTTTTAAAATGTCTATACCGTACAACTAAGTATTTTCATTACAATTCCAACCTCATTTTAAAATGTCCAAATTGTTCTTTTAGGTACATCTTTCCCATCATTTTTACAACTGTATATAATTATATTAGACAGCAACACCCAACTTATAAGTGAGCCATCCAGTCCATGTCAAAGCTACTGTAGAAACAACCTTGTTAGTGTAGAAACAACCTTGTTATTGTAGAAACAACATTGTTACTGTAAAAACAACCTCACTACTACAGAAACAACCTCGTTACTGTAGAAACAATGTCGTAACTGTAGAAACAACCTTATTATTGTAGAAACAACCTCACTACTGTAGAAACAACCTTGTTAGTGTAGAAACAACCGCGCTACTGTAGAAACAACCTTGTTAGTGTAGAAACAACCGCGCTACTGTAGAAACAACCGAGTTATTGTAGAAACATTGTTACTGTAAAAACAACCTCACTACTATAGAAACAACCTCAATACTGTAAAAACAACCCTGTTACTACAGAAACAACCTTGTTACTGTAGAAACAATGTTGTAACTGTAGAAACAACCTTATTATTGTAGAAACAACCTCACTACTGTAGAAACAACCGCATTATTGTAGAAACATTGTTACTGTAAAAACAACCTCACTACTATAGAAACAACCTCGTTCCTGTAGAAACAACCTCGTTACTGTAGAAACAACCTCGTTACTGTAGAAACAACCCCATTACTATAGAAACAACCTC